AGGTAGTGGTGTGTAAATATGCAAATGATTACCTTATAAGGTATTGGCATGTATATATGCCAATGATTACATTTTAAGGTAGTGGTATGTATATATGCAAATGATTACCTTATAAGGTAGTGGTGTGTAAATATGCAAATGATTACCTTATACGGTAGTGGTATGTAAATATGCAAATGAGTACCTTATAAAGTAGTGGTATGTAAATATGCAAATGATTACCTTATAAGGTATTGGCATGTATAGATGCAAATGATTACCTTATAAGGTAGTGGTATGTAAATATGCAAATGAGTACCTTATAAGGTAGTGGTATGTAGATATGCAAATGATTACCTTATAAGGTAGTGGTATGTAAATATGCAAATGATTACCTTATAAAGTAGTGGTGTGTAAATATGCAAATGATTACCTTATACGGTAGTGGTATGTAAATATGCAAATGATTACCTTATAAGGTATTGGCATGTATATATGCAAATGATTACCTTATAAGGTATTGGCATGTAAATATTTAAATGATTACCTTATAAGGTAGTGGTGTGTAAATATGCAAATGATTACCTTATAAGGTAGTGGTATGTATATATGCAAATGATTACCTTATAAGGTAGTGGTATGTAAATATGCAAATGAGTACCTTATAAGGTAGTGGTATGTAGATATGCAAATGATTACCTTATAAGGTAGTGGTATGTAAATATGCAAATGATTACCTTATAAGGTAGTGGTGTGTAAATATGTTACACGATTTATATTAATATTTTTTTTCTTCCCAGTTGATACAGAGGATCTCATTAAATACATTCCAAATAAAGCATCCTTTGTTTTCAAGACGTTTACTGCCGTACTCAATCACCTTTGTGCGCTTTCTGATGATGATGAACAGTTACATTTTAATAAGAGTTTTATTCGTACAAATGCTGCTGACTTTATGATACTGAGTGCCAGACATGCTGAAATCCATCACTGGAGTAATGAAACCACAAGACAACAATCATTAGGTAAAGACTGCACCAAAAGATTGAGAATAAAATGAGCTTCTCTTTCAAACTTTGATTTGGGTTTATTTTAGACTTAGATGGAATTATATATTCATCACTGGAGTAATGAAATCACAAGACAACAATCATTAGGTAAAGACTGCAGGTCTCATGCCACTAATTTAAATGCCCAGCAAGAACCAATGAAATTTTTTAAATATTATTTTTCTCAGGTGCTCCCTGTTTGAGGGCGTAATCACCTGGGTCAGAGGTGAGACCAACATGTGGTCTTTTGTTTACTACTTAGCGGCTGTGTACCTGTGGGTTTATTCTGTGTGTTAATGGATGTTCTAATCTTGGTGTTTTTCCAGTGATTTCTCTTGGTGCAATCCAAATACAGTAGGTGTGTCTTGTTTACCTGAGATTTGCAAGAGTTTGAGCTGGCCAACATGTTATTTTTTTTCATATGGTTGATTACTGGCATGTTGATTTCCCATTTTTGAGCCATATTTTCAACTTTCTTCGTCATTTTTATATAGCAATCTCGTCATATGTTAACATTGTCGTCTATGGAAATTCAATTTGTGGTATGAGCCCTGCACCAAAAGAATGAGAATAAAATGAGCCTCTCTTTCAAACATTGATTTGGGTTTATTTTGGACTTAGATGGGATTATATATTCATCACTGGAGTAAGGAAACCACAAGACAACAATCATTAGGTAAAGACT